TGTTTTCCCTGCTCTTTGAAGTCTTCATGAAGAACATGACTTCAGTGGGAGCAAGACCACAATAATTTCTCCTTTATTGCTGTTTTTCTCCATCTCTACCATTTCAAACTGGGTAATACTGTTCATTCTGTCAGCAATCTTAATAATATATTATACTTTAAAAATTACTATTTTGGGAATTTGTGGTTTTTGGCAAGAACTAAGTGCTGCTCTTGGACTATAAATCTGTGGTGGTTAGTTAAAAGGTTAAATTTACACTAACATGTCTTGTCACTTTGACCTAGATGGAGTTAAAGCAAGTAAGTAGGGCAAGTTCAGCAGCTTTTAATGAACTATTATTACTTGAATCCCTGCAAAACCAAATAAATGTTATGTCATTCTGTTTTATAATTTTCAGCCAGAGAACTCTGGCTGACTGGTGCCTTCACGTATTCTGATCTATGCTTTCCCGTCAGCAATTCATTTCCCGCCCTGGCACTTCGGTCTCTCCATTTAGTTTTATTTTGTCCTATGGGAGAATGAAGTGATACTGTAAATGGAGTTAAAACTGTGAGTAATTAATGAACCTAATTTTCTTTGTCAAGACCTTCCCTTTCAGAAAACCTGGACAAAAGGTGCCATGGCCAGTAGTATAGCTATCAGTATGCAGAATATGACCAGGGCTCATGCTCCTGAATGTTGGTACGTGTTACAGCAAGTAGAATGAGTCTGCTTGATGGGACTCTTCTTTTTCTTCTTTTCTCCAAAGATGGTCTTCATGCAGGCCATGAGTAGCTTGTGTTCTGATTATGTTGGATTTACTATGCCTGTGAAGTAAGCCTGACAAACTCTCAATGAGTCACATCTATTGCTTATGTGATTTGTGCGTGGGAGCCTGTGTTTGTGTATGTCCATGGTTCTTCATGACTCGGAGCTTGTGTTCAGCAAAGAACAATGCTGGAGCTTAAGGGAGACCTGGTACTGCTCCTGTTTTGCCTGGATGTGATTTCTGAGTTGAACCAGAAGGCACATCTGTGAAGACTTGGACGTTTCCCAGCATTGGTCAATGCTTGTGAAGGGGTACAGGAGCGGGTGTAGTGCTCCATGCATTGACCTTCTGCTCTGCAGTGTGTGTCTGCCTGTTTGGGATGCATTTGTGTGGGCTGGTTCCGTGGTCTCAAACAGTTTTGGCTGGGACATGCTCAAGGATGTTGTTGATTTCTCTTTTGTTCTGCTTCTTTTGTAAGAATTCCTACATTTATTTTGTTTTGGTTTTAGTTTACTTGATATTGTGATTTGAAATGCCTATAAACAAAATGCAGCTTTTAAGAAGGGTATTTCTGCTCCTTTCATGTTCTTTATGCTTAGATTTAGCTTAATAATTGCAATTTTCTACATCCATTCTTTAGCCCAGCAAATAAACTGGATTTAATGAGATCTCTTTTCTTATGTGAGGTTTTCTTCAGCATGAAAGGAGAGAGATAAGTAGTAATATTAGGTAGAGTACATTATAAGGAGAAATGTTAGTCTTTGTAGAAGGAGCACAAGGTTGTATATAGCAGCTGTTCTAACCATTCATCCTTGATTCATCCCTGTAAGTGGGATACATTTGTATAATGCAGGTGTTTTTGAGAGGATAGGAAGAGGGAGAGTATTTGTATCCTTTTTTAATTTTTTTTTCCCTCCCTCTCCTTCCTTCTAAATTTGGTGCACTTTCACTTTAGACATGATTTTCTCTCCTGCTGCCAGATAGCAACAAAAGCAAATAATTTTTTCCAATACTATTTTAAGTAGTACATAAAGTTTACTTGTATGTGCTCAGTTCTCCTGTGTGTAAATGGTGAGAGCACTGAAGTGAGGGAAAAACCCCATCTCCCTGGGGCTGCTGACACTTCTACTTCAGCCTCACCAACATCATCAGAAGTCACTTGGAGCAGCTTGTCTAACTCGGGTCATGATGTCTGTGGAGCAGAAGCCAAGGCTGTTGGAGGGGAGTAATGTGGAACCGGGGGTGTTTCTATCCCTTATTTTGCTTTGCGAGGTGTGCAGTGGTTGCCGTTAGATATTGTATGTAAATGCTGGGTGCCCGGACAAGCTCCCAGGTGAGTGGGTGAGGCCAGGTTGGTGCCGTGGCACGCTGCCTCAGCACTGCCGTGCAGCTACATGAGGAGTGGGAAGTCTCTGCTTGCAGACGAGCCATGGTGTCTAGACATGCTACGATTATTTCTTTGCTCAATTCTGCGTGTAGCCAAATATCTTTCCAAATACACTAGGCAGATGTGAGAGTGGTGCCTGTATCCATATGACAGTGAAGGTTGTAAACCTTCCTCCATGTCCCCCACCAAATTCAATCATACTGCTTGATATCATGCATATCAACGGCTTCTATACTGTATTCTAACAGCAGTGGGAAACAGCACTCGATCAGTTTATCATTAAATATAGTGAAGATTTCTGGAAAACTTCCACTGGTATACACTTAACGTATATTTTTATCCAGAGAGTATGGAAAAACAGCAATTTGGAAAGTGACTCTGTCTCTTGTTTTGCCTGGTATTTTCATTAAAGGTTTTGTGTTAGATTGAAACTGGTCATCAGTTTCAGGAGTCATTTTGAAAGGAAAGGATAAGGGAGCACAGCCAATGTAGCTTCTCTGCTTTAGCAAATGATGCTAAACCTAAGCAAAGGTAAACTAAAACATGGTTATGTACCCCCAAAAAATAATAATTAAAAAAATGTTTTTTTTTCTAGTCGGTTTTCTGATTTTGGTAGCTTAATTTCTGTAAGATTGGTTTGGTGTGGGCTGTGTGGACCGAGTTAGGCTAACTTTAGCTTTACTAAATGAATACTCAGGCTAATTTCTGATGTTATCCAACCCACAGCATATATTGCATTGTGCCTGATGAGTGCCATCACAGTTGTAAGAACAGCAGGGTTGCATTAAGAGATATAAGGGAACCAAGACATGAATCTGTAGAAATCCAAGCTTTATGAGTTTCTTTTTGTGTGTGTGTGCATGTTTTCCCTAAATCAGTAAGGTGTATTTAGACTTTGCTTTCCAGTTTTGTCTAGGAAATTCTTAAGCTTATAATAAAAATAAATTTTCTAAAACTTTTATTTTGCTAAAATAAAAGCTGAGATGTTTATGTAGAAATATGAATTGTGAAATGAGTGGTGAGGGGACAATGGGTGGCTTGAAGTGCATATAGAAAGCACTAGTACTGTCAGGCTTGTTTAGAAAAATTGAGGTATACAGCCTTCTTTGTAATGTTTCAAAGCATCATAAGTCAACTGTTCATTCTGGTGTAGTGAGCGCATACATAAATCACTAGCACACTGCATCATAGAGATGGGTCGCTTGTAGTTGTTGGTTGAACTTACTGCATGGTAACAGTTATAATTAATTACTTGGAAGACTGAATGTCTCAGAGTAATTTGTCATCAACGTGCACGGGTGGTGGTGAGTTGTGCTGAGGTGTTCAAGTATTCTCTGGTACGCAGTAATATAAAAAGCAGAACTTGATCCTCTCCCAAGATTTAAATTTGTCCTGCCTTTCTGAAAAGTGGGAGGCAAAGAAAAGGTGATGCAATATCTTCTCAACAATATAAACTTCACCTACCACCTTGGACTATGAAATTCAAAGTTACCTTCTGTCCCTTAGCTATACTTGATCCCTATGCCATGGAGAACACTATCTAAATCTGCTCTTGGCAGCTACTACAGCAGAGTTCGATGTCACTGAATTTCGTGGAGGGGTGTGTATATGTGCGCGTATGATATAAATACTTAATTTAGAAGAAAATATGTAACTGTTAAAAATCTGAAGTACTTGGTGGTAGAGAGCAGGGAGTTCACAAGAAATTTTGACATAGTGAATCTGAGTCTTTGTTGTCTAACCTGGAGAGTTCTTCTTGCTCATGTGATGTTTCCTTGTTATAAAATGTTTTTATGCAGTACTGCTTATGCATTCAGTAGATTTTCTGAGACTTTCATAGGTCAGAAAAGCACTGGAAAAAAGTTGCAAGCACTTTCATTCATCTAGTATAGTCACTTTATATAAGTGAGTAAACAAAGTGGAACAATGACTCCTTTTTGCCTCTTGCTTCTGATTAGGTTCAAGGGTGAGGTGTTCATTGCTACTGTATTTGTTCTGTGCAGTAGACATTCTCAAAGAAATGAATGCTTAAATTGGAAGGACTATATTGTTTTTTACTTATGAAGTGAAGTACCTTTTTGTTGAGGTGTTGAGAGCAGGAAACAGCTTTGTGATTCCTGTCTTGTTTCAAGTAAAGGTAGCACTTAATTGATTAGCAGTACCTTCTTTGTTTCAGAAAGAATAATAAGTAAGATAATTTTTTAATGTTTTTATTGTCTTCGTCATTCCTACAAAACAGGTTAATGCTTTGACGTGTTCTTAATGATGCATCTCTTTTTCTTGAAAATGTTTGTAATGTTTTGAGACGTTAGACAGTAACTGTATTTTTCTCTTGAACTTTCTTTTATGGGAAGATGAATTTCACTGAATTTCACTGAATTTCTAGAGTTGGAAGGGACCATAGAGATCATCTAGTCCAACTCCCCTGCTGAAGCAGGATTGCCTAGAGCTAGAGCATGTAAGAAAGAACACTAAAGTTTTGCCCACCTGAATTTTGTTGTGGATTTCACTTGGGGCCAGATTTCAGCCCATGTTTTAGGCGTGTTTAGTTTTAGTGGTGGTTAGGGCACCAAGGAAGATTTTTACAGTGAGGATTTTTCTCAAATTCACGTCCCATGGATTTTGTTAATTCTGTGACAAGTACTCCTCTCTTCTGAATCTCATCCCAAGCTGCCAGTTATTTGAGAGAATTATTTTTTTTTTCTGCATCTTTCTGTTTGGTTCCTGTTCATACTGTGCAGTTCACTGCCTTACATTTCTAATTTATTGACTTGAAAGACAGATGTTTTATGACTGCTATAAATGTCTAAGAATTGCTGATGAGCTGTCTCTTCAATTTCTCTTTTATGTTTTCTTTTCTCCTAGGAGCCTACAAGGTAGACCCAGGACCCCACTGTGCTAGGTTCTGCACAAACGCTGAACAGAGGCAGTAAATGATTACAGAGGGATGGTAACTAAAAGGTAAGTAAGAAACTGTATTTTGTTCAGTCAGTAGACAGTGATGTCATGGAGAGATTCTAAGATGCTGTCTGGAAAAAGATTGTGAGGTGGTTTTGTAGACCATTATAGGAATTCTGACCTTCTCTCCTCCCTAAGCTTAGGAAATGCAAGAAATGGAAGTGGGAAGAATGCAAGAAAAACAACCTGCAATTCTCCTTTCTTCTCCCCTCTCTTAAATTACGGTAAACTTCAAAAAGGGAAACTGTGTGAAAATGGGGATGTTTGTTTAAAGAAAAAATGAAAGGACAACTGCAAGAGTAATGTGTTTGTGGGTAGCAGAGGCACTATTTCAGGGTACTGTTTTGGAGGTTCCACACAAATGTTTACCACCAGTCTTGAAAATACTTAAGAAAAAGAAGCCTGTATAGTTAAATGACAAGGTAGAAGAGACTATTTAAAGCAAGAGGACATCTTAAAAAAAGCTGTGGCTGCATTCAAAGAAGGAAAATAGAACCAAAAAAATCTCTCTATCAGGCCAAATATAAAATTTATAAATGCTTTTTTCAACCACACCAGTAGCAGGAAGCCAGTTGAAGAGTCTGTGGGGCCTGCGTATAATGACATTATGAAATGAACAATCTGAGATAAAGCCATGGCAGAAAACTAAACAATTCTTGTGTGTATGTGCTCACCACTGAAAAGCGTGGGGTGGTTCCTGTTTTGGAACCCTTCTTATGGGAGGCTTATAAGATTACCTTTCTCAGGTGGAAGCATTTGTAGGAGAGATTGTGGAACAAATTGCATGTTTCAAATTTAACACATCCAGATGTTGCTCACTCAAGTTTTTAAGCAACGGAAAAGCAAAATAAAACAGCTACAGACTATGGCATGCAGCTTCTTGGTCTAAAGTGTCTCAGCAGTTGAGAACTTGAAGATGTCTAATTTGATGCCATGTTTTAGTAAGCATTCATGTGGAATCAGAAAGTCTAGAAACCAATAGATCTCTTGTTAAAATTGAGTGGATTAATTAAAATATTAGATTAGCAGCTATTTCAGAAATGACATTGGATAAGTATGATGGAGATACTGAAAAAGAATTGACTTCTGAGAAGAGGAGCCCAATGAAGAGGAGCTTTAGAAGCAGGTTGATATTAATCATCAGCTACTTGAAGGGTGCTTACAAAGATGATGGAGCCAATTTTCTTAGTAGTGGCAAATGATGTAACAGGGGGTTTACATACATAGATTGTAGATTGAAATGTTCTGATTGGGCATTGAAGAAAATCTTTTTCACTAAGAGGGTGATGTAGCACTGGATAAAGTTAGCCAGGGAAAAGGAGGTGGCATATCTCCTGGGGGAGGCTTTCAAGTCTTAGTTGAACAAAGCTACAGCTGACCTAATTTACCCTGGATTTTAGTGGTTGGTCAGACTGGATGACTTCCAGACAGCGTTTTTGTGATTTGAAATCAAGTATTGCTAAACTGCTGTGGTCCTTTGAAGGAGGTAACCAGCATGCAGATGGAAGACATTTTATGATACATTGTTCTACATAGATTTAGCAATATCCTATCAAAAATCTTTTAAAGGAACTAAACAGACACAGGTTGAGGGGGAGGACTGCCAACTGTGTAAATAATTGGTTAAATGGTAGGAAACAAAACACTAGGAGAAAAACCTGTTGGAAATCACAGATTTCCACAGAGATCTCTCAGTGTCCGGGGGATCTTCATACTCATAAGTAGCTTGGAACAAAATTATGATGACAAGGCTTTTTTCTGAAACTAAGTTATTCAGGGCAAAAGAAGGTACAAGAAAAGGGAGCAGACTGAAAAACTGCAAAAGAACCTTATAAAACTCATTAAAATGGTGGATGAAATTCAGGATCAGTAATGGTAAAATATTTTGAGCTGACCTGAGATCTGGGAACTAGAAGCAGTAATTTAATGGAAAAAAATCATCTCTGTACTTCAGTAGCAGTCAAAAAGCAAATTTATATCAGGAGTTGCTCTGAAAGGAGAGAGATCAAAATATCATTAGGCCAGTCTCTAAATCTGCCAAGGTTTTGCATCTTAAATATGGCGTGCTGTTCTGGTCTCCTTATCTCAGAACAAGTGGAGTAGAACTGGAAAAGGTTCAGAGAAGGGCAACAAGAATGAAGAAAGGCAGCAGGATGCAGAAGGCATCCACAGGGCAGCTTCTGTGCGAGGACAACTACCCAGATGGAAGTCTGCAGACTGGAAAAGAGATAGTGGCCTGATGCTAATGCTAGAGGTCTGTAAAATCTGTGAAGAGTGTGGATGGGAAATGAATACTCGGTGACAATTTATTTTTGTATTAGACGAGATGTCAGGTGAAACAGGCAGGGAGCAGTTTAAAAGCTAGGAAAAGTTTTTCTTTGCATAGTGTGCAAGTCAGTTCTGAAATTCCTTGCCGTGGGATGCTGTGTGTGCTGCATGAGTATAAAGAGCTGCTGAACAATGTTGGAAACGGAGGTGGTCAAAAAAAGAGGGACAAAAAAAGAGGTGACAAACAAAAGTATTACCACTTGGTAAGGAAGTTACTGAGCTGCAAATTGTGGAAAGCTGTGCAGTGAGTGCCTTGGTGGGAGTGGAAGAGAATATTTCTATATGGTTTTCACAGTTCCTTTAGACATCTGCTCTTGGCTGCTCCTGGAGATAAGGTAGTGGGTCAGGCTTGATATTTAGTCTGAGCTTTGGTCATTCCATTTGGGCTAAACATACAGCCTGGCCCACTGTGGGGGTTCTTACACACTATTTTATAAATATTAAGGTTGCAGGGTGAAGTCCCAGAAGAGAACTCTGTTGATAGAACTATTTTTAAAAATATTAAGCTGTTATGTAATTTGAGGTATTGCACTGAGCTCAGAGCCTTTTCCCTCATTGTAAGATAAATGCTTTTTAGCTTATTTTGGCACTCGATAAATTACAATTAAATTTTGTCTTAATATATTCAGGCTGTTTCACTGAGAATTCAGTTCTTAGCCCCAAAATATCACTTTTTTTTTTTTTCTTACTTTGTTCCCTGTACTGCCTGTCAGGGAGTAAAGAATTACTAAATCGTCTTTTCTCACTATGTATGTCCTAGTGACACCCATTTTGGTGTAGAGACAGTAGACTTTGAGGGAAGAGATAAGCAAGGTGAAATGGCAAAGCCTTGAGAGAGTACAAAGAGAATGAGAAAAGAGTGTTGAACTTGGAGAGACTTGTGTTTGTGAATTAGCTTGAGAGGCAAGATATTTGAATTATGATGATCAGGGTGGGGGGCAAGGCTAAAAGTGACAGAGTTGCATAATGATAGCAGTTGAAATGGCCAAAACAGATAAGGCTACTGGAAGAGAGAGGGTCATGGGAAAAGGTTAGTGGAAAACAGGAAAATGGAACTAAAGGAATTAAATGGGAAGAAGTAAGCAAGGAGGAGAAACTACTGAAGAAAGTTCTTAAGAATTAACAGGATTTTAGGAGCTTAGAGAGACGCGGATATTAAGAATGAGAGAAACAGTGTCTTTGGTTTTCAGTGGTTTATTGCCCTGAGATGGATGGATCCATGCAAGTATTAATGAGTCCTTAAATTTCCTGTAGCAGTATCTATACTTTGTCTAGGAAGTTTTCCAAGGGGACTTGGAATCAAAAAACACGGGAGGAGAGAACAGTGTTTTTTCATTAGATTAGAGAGGGTAGTTGCTCATGGTAAAAATTAATTTTGTTAAAAGATTAGCAAAAATGAGAGTAAAACAGCTGTAATGGAGACTCGGAGGATTTCTAAGTAACATGGCAAAAACTTGCAAAGACAAAGATGATATGAATATTTCAAATAGTGATGTACAGAGTCCCACGGAAAGAATATTTTTCTTGCAGGAAAAGGGGATACAAGGGTGTGATTTTAGATAAATGGAGGGGAATTGCAGAATAAGAGCAGTTCAAGGGAAAATGGAAGAGGAATATAATGTAGGTCATTACAAATTATTGCTTAGGTCAGCTGTTTCTCTACCCACTTAATTCTTTGAGCTTGAACATCTGTGAAGGAGAGTCCTTCCGCACCCTTGTAACTCTTTTGGCGTCTTCCTTGTGGGTGTGTTACACGGTGATGGGAGGTTTCCCTTCGTGCTAGGGTTGGGGAATTTTAACAAATGAAGCATAACAATGAAAGCTCGTTAGTAGTAGTTGTTAAAAGGAACCTGGATTGCTTCAAAGCAGCAATAGCAATTTCAGAGTGGAATGAAGGAGCTTCATTCTCTTTCAGAAACTGGACCACTAAGCTGAAAAAAGCTTTGTGCTGAAGTGATGAATTATGCTGTACTTTTCTCTGCGTATTAGGTGAAGGAGGGTCAGAGAGGGATGGATGAGGTCATTGTGTCTACTGGAAAGACCCTTTGTTTCTTGCTACAGAGAATGAGAGTCTCCTCATTAAAGCCTGTTGTTAAATCTCAGAGATTAATGGCAACTAGAAGCAGGGTTTTAACACCTGGTGTGAAACTAAATGGTCTTAGATTTATAATTTTAATCTCTTATATTTTTTTCTCTCTTTTTTAGGGGGGGGAGGGGGGAGGGTTATACATCAAGTTAGGAATAAGGTTCAACTTCCACCCACTGGCACAACTGCACTCCCCCAGGTCGTACTTTTTGCAGTACAGATACTGCCTTTATCATTCCAGATATCTCTCAATTGCCTGGAGTCTCATGGGTTGCTTTTTCTTGTCTTGATCATTAAGAATGTCAAAAGAATTTGTAGAAAAGGGCACTGTTTTGAGACCCTTTGCGTTGTCTCCATTGATCCAGGTTTGGTGTATTATATTTTTTTCCACATGACACAGTTTTTGTACTTGCAGTGTATGCATTAATACAGTGTGTATAATCTGCTCTGGAAGCCCTTTGTGCAGCACCACTGCAAGCATTTTGAATTATTTTTCACTCAGCTTCTGGTTTCATCTTTATAAAATATGGTGGAATCCAGAGCTGGAAAACATGCAAGATTGACAGCCCTTAAAATTGAAATCCTGTTT